GCAGTAAAAATATATATATGGCTTCGCCCGGGTTCGAACCGGAGACCTTCAGTGTGTTAGACTGACGTGATAACCAACTACACCACGAAACCTCGTTGGCGAAAGCTATTGCGGATGAATATTTATATTTTAAAAGAATAATAAAAATAAATAGTAAAAATATGGCTTCGCCCGGAGACCTTCAGTGTGTTAGACTGACGTGATAACCAACTACATCACGAACGAATGTATGATGTCAAATAATGTAAACATAGCTTACAAACGAAAACCGTAATTTAAAATGAAATAGATTCCAGACATTATTTAAGGGCATAATAATGACGGATAAAATAATTGAATACAAGATTTCGATTCATACATAAAATTTATTTGAAAATAAACATCTTAATTAATTAGTGGTTGTATATATATTTATAAAATACTATAAATATAACCTCAAACTTTTTATTTTTAATATTTGAAAACTTTGTTACTTTTCTAAGATGAAATTTAGGTTTATATGTTTGGGGAAGAAGTTATTAAGTGTTTCTTAGAACCTACTTCAGATAATCTCGTGAGAGACCCTACAACTACAATATAAGAGTTTATGCCTCCCCCATTAAAGGAGAGGAGCATGATTATCTATTAGAATCTCGAAAATAGTCCAAGTAAACAAATATTATGTGTGTTAATTCTTTATCTTCTACATATGTGTATTTTACAAATATACATTTTCACTTATAAACTCGTTCCAACCCCATTCTACGTTTAGCAGAGCCGGACTAACTCAATATTGGGGCTTCTACAATAAAAATAAAATCTACTCTTGGTTGAATCTTTTGTCAAAGAAAGTTGGTTCTTACACTGTTGAATGTGTACCTTCACTCACATCTCCACCTTCATATATATTATATGAATGTTACATGAAAACTCAACCCTACATGCATCATGTATCTATGGGTTGCAAAGTCGACTTCCAGCAAGTTTAAGCAACCCTGGATGATGCATGTGTCGTGAATTCAGTAAGATGATGACATAGCCCACACCAGACTTCCAACAGGAAAGATCAAGCAGAAATCTAAAATAAAACCGCTAAGCAGCCACACTCCTTTCGGCCAGTCCAATGATTTGTCGTTAAAACTACCAGACATCAAACATACCAACTAATGGACCATTCACAAATGAAGTTAAGTTGGTTTTAAAGATCTAAAGTAGGTACATACATATATTCAATTACTATCAACTGATAACTCCCAAAAGTTATACAATATCATGTACATAAACAGATATACTAACACAACCAACATAGTATGCATAAAACTACTAGGATGAAATATATGTAATATTAAGTCTGCCACCTGCTGTTTGACCATCACACTACTAGCTACACTTTCTCAAGTTCTTGACCTTCCAACAGGAGACCTGCTGTAAAGTGAAACAAATGATAATAATAATATGAGCATGATCCCAAGCAGCCAAATCTTTACAAATACAATAAACAGGGAGAAAGATATACCTGCGATATCTCCCATATGCAGGGCTCCTGGGTCTGTCGTAGGATGGTCCACTGTACCTATCGTAGACAGGGCTACGGGCTCGCCCATAATCAGGACTTGGTCGACCCCTCCTATAAGGACTTGGTGACCTCCTGTAAGGACTGTCAATGCGACGACCATAATCTCCTCTAGGGCTCATTGATCGGGATCCATCATCCCTCAAAGCATACTCCACTGATACCACCCTGTCCAATATTTTACTGCAAAAAAAAGTTGCCATAAGCTTTAATACAAATAGTAATATTTGGGAGCTTAAATCAAAGAACAAAGGACCAACTCCACAAGCACAAACCTCATGTGTGTACACTCCAAAGCTTTTGTGGCTTCTTCTTGTGTTTCAAACTGCACAAAAGCAAAGTTGCGCCGGATACGAACATGGAGAACATTTCCATAAGGCTCAAAGTGTCTCTCAATATCGCGGACCCTTGTACGGATGGGGTCAAAGTTGATTATAAATAGTGTTTTAGTTGGTCGCTGGTTCGCCATAGACTTGGAGCCATCACGAGGTCGACCACGCTCACCCTGCCACAAGTCATTTTGAAGTTGGAATTTACTAATACTCACAAGTCCTCGGTATGTGACATCCAAGTTCAAAAACAAATTTCATAGTTATGCAATCAAAGAGGTCAAAGATGTTCAATCTCAATACCGGAAAACTAAGACATAGTTCATAGAGAGCCAACTTACCCTAGCCCATTCCACCGACAGCCTGCGTCTGTCATATCCAAATGGGGTATTATCAAGAGCATGAATGGCATCTTCAGCATCACGCTCGTCCTCATAGTAAACAAAAGCAAATCCTGCAAGGACAAACAAAGTAAGGCAACTAATAGAACAAGAATCCAGGTTCACTCAAGACTGCACAAGAGGTATGCATCTCAATGAGGTTTCTCTTCCCTCACTAACTAGATGAAAATACAAAACCTGCAAATACGAGAACAGCTGATGAACATAAGGATGTAGAAGCCTTGCAAGATCAAGTAAATCATGATGATGGAACAATATAACATTAAGTCCAAGTCTCAAGTCTGAGATGACAGCTAAGCATGGTTCACCATTTTGACAGCACGTGTTCAGAAATGGAAGACATGGCAGGATAGAATTCATGACCCCCTTAGGATAAGTGATGGAAGGCATGGCATGATACAGATCCCACCATGACAATCCTTGTGAAATGGCAGGCAATGATGCAAGTGAATGGTATGATCGAATGAATGAAATGTAGAAGGATTCCATCTGTGAGTAGAAGGAGGGCAGGCAGGCAGATAGATTTTCCATTCCAATAGAATTTATTTGCACAGAAGTTGGAGAGCCAAGATAGAAGCTCTTTTTCCCTTAGCAGATGTTCCTGCGTCAAAACAAACACTTAAATATGGCGGCTTTCTTCAAAGTAATTCAAATTTGCCGCTGCCACATTATTGATCACCAGGGGAAATAAGCGAGATATACACGCTACAAAAGTAGATGTACATCATTTTTGCTGAATGGATGTTTTTACAGTCAATTATAGTCTAATCTACAACTGCAAATGGATCATTTAAAACATGCCACGCATAAGGATCAAAATATATCCAGATAAGGATAGTGAGACTTGGTAAAGAGAGAAATCAACAAAAGAACTGCTTGCTTTCAAACTTAGCTAATCTTGATGAGATGCTCGAGAGATATTTAAAGCAAGCTAACCCAAAAAGAGAGAGAAATAAACAAAGATCATTCTATCTCTATGCATACTGATCACCATTAGAGCCAAAAGTTCGTTACGGACCAAACAAACTAGGCTTATGGGTGTAACCAACATTCCAACAATGCGTGTACATACAAGCGCCTAATGGTAAAAGAAACCGCCAAGGTAATTTTATAAGTTTCTAAGAAACCAGTTAATCATCCTAGATTACATTCTTTTCCTTCAAAGATTGGCAAGGTATTCCCTCGTTCATTTGCATTTGATCAAGTTTGAAAATTGTCTTTACTTGCAATCTTTTAGGTGAACCCTCTTCCAGGATTTGACGGAGAGGAGGTATGAAATAAAGCTGATATATAGACCTGGTAATATATAATGATCTTTTCCACGAATATCATTCGAAAGGGACGTATCGCAGGTATAAACGACCTAGCAAGGCAATCCAGTTCAGAAACATACCAGATTTCATATCAACACGCTCAACTCTTCCATATCTACCGAACAGCCTCTCCAGATCGGATTGACGAGTCTCGTACTCGAAATTTCCGCAGAAAATCGGCTTCATCTTCACAAAATTGTCCCAAAACCGAATAATGAACCTAAAAAAGAAATCAACAACATACAAGTGATCAATCACCACAATAAGAATTGTGAGACGAACAATCTTAGGGTTCGGAAAAAAATCAACAAATTTACCTTCAAATCTTTGATTGACGAGGGGACAAAGCCTAGAAGCAAAAACCGTAAGGAGATTAGGCGTAAAAGTCAGGGGATTTGGCGGTTTTATATATGCAAAGAGATCGATCAACCCACGTGGCAGCATCTTGTCCGTTGATTCTAACGGGCTTAATTGATGGTTCATGAACGGGCTCAAAACCCATTTTGAGGTAGTGATGGCCGAAGGCAAAAACAGGTCCCAGGCCGGGCCGGATCAGACCTAATTGGTCTCAAACTTTCCCGTAATCGGTTATAACAGGTCTTCGTCGAAAATGGTAAGACCGGTTAAAGTTCTTTATAACCAGTTATGGACCGTCAGTCCTGGTTTCAGCATTAAAAAAATATTTTTTTTTAATTTTTTTAATGATATATATTTTTAATACATTATAAAATTTGTAATTGGGTTACTCAAATACACTTTAAAAATACGTTTTAATATAATTAAAATTACGTTGTCTTAAAAAATACATTATAAAATACATCTATTTATAAAAAAAAAATTGAATTTACAGGTCGGGCCGGCTGATTTGGCCATCACTATTTTGAGGAGCACTTAAAACCCATTGGAAGCCTAGGAAAGCCGCCGACTCCAACTACTGTCCATGTACGAACCAGTTCCGATCCGTACGAAAGGCGTAACGAGTCCAACTCATGACGACCTGGTCCATCTGGGAGAAGCTGTAGGTATTGTTATAGGTCAATCTATTGGAAGCTTTTGCACAATTTGCTTCTGATCTCGTTTTGAGGAAAGAGATCTTGGACTTGGATGCATATTTTTTCTTTATTTCTTCGTGTTCAAAAAAATAAGATTGTTTAGAGCCGATAGATATGGCTAAACTCGGCCCGGTCAAGCTTGGAACCGGCAGAGGACCGAAACCAATAGAGACCGGATGTCCCCGTCTGGTTATGATTTTCACCAAAAGAACAAGGCTTGGCTGGTCTGGCTTGGGACTGGTTACATTCAGGACCAATATTTTAAAAACTAGTCGTTTTATATATGTCTGGACCGATTCTAGGGACCAGACATTAAACATAGAGAATGTGCCAGTTGATTTCAGTCAAGACTGGTTGCTTAATAGGATTTTTGGACTAGGACCGTTTTTGGTCATCCCTATAAATTTTCATCGATTTTTTAATTTAATTGATATTTAGCGTCAAGTTTTTTGAGATTTTTTTTTATTTTGTTTTTTATCGTCAATTTATCATTACTTTCGTAATGTCATATTTTCAAAATATTAAGAATAACATATTATATATCTCTATCGTCACAGAAGTTTGAGGTTGATCATGGAATCCTTGAAATAGATTCATAAATTGTTCGAAGTTATAATGACTTGTTTTTCTTGGTAATAAATCCTAAAACGTTGAATTTTCATGAACTCTACCATAGATGCTTTTTGAGCAAACAAAAGTCTGTCAATTTATATGTTTGATCACTTGTGTTTTCAATTTATACATTACAAATCAGAACGATCGATTCTATTATGCATTGTGTTCAGTGTATTATAAACCAATTGACAAACTTTTGATTTTACATGATTTATCTTTCACTTCCTAGGTTAAAATTTAGGTTTTACATGATTTATCTTTCACTTCCCCCCATTACATTTTTCCACAGGCCCCCAATCCCAATTGAAACCATTACTCTAACCAAAAAAATCTATTGAAATCAATCAAAAAACCAAAAAAGTTATTCGAAATCGACAAAAATGCTAAAAAAGTCCATCGAAATCAACCAAAAAACTTTAAAAATCTCTCAAAACGTTGTAATTAGGTTAAAAACATATCGAACGATTTTGCGGGCCTTTAGTCTACCTTAAAGATGACCCCACTTAACAAAAATCCTGGATCCACCACTGCTCATAAGAGGTAAGGTATGCGTATGACCTACCTTTTCCAATACCTTATTATGTGTGGGATTCAATTGCCTATTTTGATTTGGCTTGGTTTATTAACTCAACCAACTTTTAAATATAGAGCGTTATCATGACTAGTATGCTTATCTCATTTGAAAACCGTATTCAAAAGGAGCACTAATGACAATAGGATTTGTACTATTATTCGTAAGCTTAGTAAGTCAAAAGTAATCATGGTCAAGGTTTACTAGCTTTCAACTTCCTTTATCTCACAACTATGTAGTTTAAGGACAATAAATGGATTTGGTAGGTTTTAGGAGGCAATATTTGGCATTAATGTGGCCTTTGTATGTGTTATTATGATGTTTACAACTTCTCAGATGATTTTGGGTTGTACCTCTCTCCCCCTATCCTTTCTAGAGTTCCAATTAATAGCCATGCTCGAGTTAGGGGTTGTTCGGTAATGACTTAATGGGTTGTTAAATATGTATGGCTTATTCGGTCAGCTATACATTGTTGTTCATTTCTGACTTATTTGGTCAGTCGATGGCTTAATCGGTCAGCCAGGAAAGCAGGTCCTATAGACTCAACCATTTATTCATCCCCTTATTCCAAATTTGTCCCTTTCACCATCTAGAACAATCTATTCCTATAAGAATCAATGGCGGATTCAACAAACACCCCAACTACTCAGATTAAACCCAACTACTCACGTCAAACCCTACCACCATAGAGACGTCGACTTCTGCTCATGCTCGTCGATTGTTCCTGCTCGTTATGCTTCGATTGCTCCTGCTACATCATTCTCCACACAACGTATGTTCTCCTCATCGATTGCTCCTGCTCACTGTGCTTCAATTCTTCAAATGGGTAAATCGACCAAGAAGTTCGATTTTTATGTTTCTGTTCGATTTCCTCGTTGTGCTACCTTCTATCGAGCCTTTATGTTCGATTTCTAACTGTGCTTTTGTTTTTGATTTCCTCATGGTGCTAACTTGTTTTGAAACCTTTTGGTTCTTCTTTTGATGTGTTATGATTTTGTAACAGCTTACTGGACAACCCCTATGATGTGTTATGATTTTGTTTCTTCTTGGAATTCTGCTTTTTTTTACGTTTCTGTTCAATTCTTCAAATGGATAAATCAACCAAGAAGTTCGATTTTTACGTTTCTGTTCGATCTCCTCACTATGCTACCTTATGTCGAGTTTTTTAGCTGATGCTTCCATTTTAAACAGGCAGAACCAAACCAAAAGTGCATTACTCTGACTGCTAGAGAAGGTCAAAATAAACCCAGTCCAGTCATTTATAACATTTGTTGTTTTGAATAGTGAAGTAAACAAACAAACAAACAACAGAATTCGAAGTAAATAGACATGTCTCAAGACAAAAATAAGACTGGGGGTAAAATGGTCATTTATGACATTCAGACTATTTATTCAACATAACAATCGAACAATTTATTTGTTAATATGCAGACAACTATATCCATACAGTTTTTAACAGAAAACGAAGAGAACAGCCCCTTAGTTCATATGATTGAGGATTTTCTGGTGATGAGAATAAAACATTGGAACAAAGTAGCAGCTTTTTCATTATATTTATTGTATTTATATATGATGAAATTCAATATAGTTTTATGCTTAATGCAATGTATTTCAATTATTTGTAGACAACTTATCATTCTTTCAAACATTTCGGTTTCAAATTCCATTTAGTAGAACCTAACCTCTATCAAAAAGAGAAAAATGAAATTAAACAACTTAATCGGCATGCCATGACAACTTAGGTTCTCGCATCCCTATGATGACAAGAAAATATTATCTAATCACTTGAACAGATATGATATCACTTAGTAAACTAACAATGAGTAGAGTTGTTCGAGGATTGCATCTGGGAGTAAGCTTCGATGATCAGTTAGTACCGTAAGAAACATACATCTCAAAACACAAGTATTAAGTTATTTAAATATATCATCAAAAATTCACATAATATATACTCAAAATACATGTATTAAATTAGTTGAATGACATTATAAAGAAAATTATTAAATGCATATTCAAAATGACTAGAAGGGTACTCATGCAATGCATCAAGAAACATCTCGATTTCAATGTTTTGTTTTATCCTTTTTTATGTTGATATAATACGGTTTTATGTGGTTTTGAAAAATCGATAATGTTTTTATTTTTGAATAAAATATAAATTTAAAAATAACATAAAAGATTGAAAAATATATATAATATCGATATTAGTATCAAATTAACTATTTAAAAATTCTTGTTTTTTTGTGTAATTTCTTTAATTTAATTTTTTATTATAATTTAATTTAAGTTTGACAATACAATTTTTATAAAGATAATAATTAAATATTTAATTATTTTGTTAGAACTCAATGATTATCTTAATTATATTTTAGATTTTTTTATATTTAAAATGAGATATTTATTATGTATTTGATTATTTTTATCTACAGTTAGTTACAAATAAAAATAAAGATAAAGATCTATTCTTATGCTTCTTATCTTAACTATTCTTTTGTTGATTGAGAGCCAACCCGTTAAATAATAAGTCTTAAAATTATTATAATCGAATATCTAAAATATTGGGTTAAATAGAATATGATTGTCTATTGAAATATATATGAAATTTTCTGAGGCACTGTTTGTGTATTTGGTGTTGGTTTTTTATGATTTAAATATGTTAATAAATAATCAAATATGGTTTTATTTATGTAAATAGACAAATCAAGAAAATTAAAAAATACTCGAAAAACTCATTCATTTGTAAATACACCCTTCAAGAGTAAATTAGATAGTCAAAAACCTTTCAGTCTAGCTCGCATAGCAGTGTTGGCAACATTTAAGTGTTTAGCGGGTAGCATCACCAGCATTAACTACCACCACCGGCACCGGCTACGTGTGAAAATTAGGAAGGATTTGGATGATAAAAGGAGGGACACAATGATTTGGTAGTTGTTAACTGCTCCAAGTGTGTGTCGTCGAGATGGAGGATCCACAACACTCCTAAAAATCAAAGGTTATTTAGCAGATTAGAGGAAACACAGAGCTTTTTTGAGTATTCAATTTCTATTTGTGTAAATTAAGACATTGCTTTCTCTCAAACCCATCATCATCATCATCATCTTCCTCACTCTGCTGCTTTCAGAGGTAACTAACTTCTTCTGGTTTTCCTACCTTTTCATCTTATAAACTGCTCTACGTTTCTTCATCCACTTCTGTGAAAAGAAGATAGGGTTTATGTGCAATTTGGCTTTATTGTTAAATGGAATCTTCTTTTTGTGAACATCAAGAGACTGTGATTTTGGTGTTTTTATGCAGGAGTTGGTTTCGATTTCTAGTGATGCATGCATTGTTGTATTGGATCCAAAATCTGAAGCTCTTTTCTTGACCTAAATTCAAATCACTGGAATTCTACTCAATTGGGATTTACATTCTTGATGAACACAAATATACACAATTTGGTTGTTTAATCCAAGACTTTTGGTGCTCCAACTGATAATTTAAGCATATAGCTCTGCAAACCCAATCTCAAATTCGTGTTGCCATTTTTAATCTTCTTATCTCAAGACCTCACCTATACCAAAATAGTAGATAATCATGGGTGTGGATTAAATCGGTTCCCAAACCATAAATTTACTCTCAACCGCATCTTAACTAATTTGATAACCACCGCTAAATTCAAAACCAAGAGTTGAGAGTAGGTTTGTAGGGTTTATAACAATTATATGGTCTGTATTTGAGGGGCTTCATCATTTAAACTCTCTCTCTCTCTCTCTCTCTATATATATATATATATATATTGTTTTTTGATAACAATGAGAACTTTTGTTTAAGATATTGGTTTTTTCTTAATCATGAACATATATTTGTTTCATATGTATGTGGTTCACATTGTAAAACCTTTTTACTGTTAAAACCAGGTGATAATACGCACACAATTTGACTCTAAAATGTGATGCTTTATTCAATAAATCAATCTGCCTTTTATAGGCTTACACAGGAAACAGAACAGCAAACTATCAGCTAAGAAATAGGAACAACTAGGACTAATCCAAATACTTATTCAAATCTAAAACAGACTTGGTCATATGACCGTTGTAACCAAAAACTTCAATATCCTCCCCTAAACTGAACTAGAGCTAGTTCAGTTTATTTCCTTCAAACCMAGTGATGCTCGCAACCTGCTGAAGTCTTCTAGTTTGATCGGCTTCGTCATTATGTCAGCTAACTGATCCTTAGTGTTGCAGAATACCAACTTCAATTCYTCTTGATTAACCAAATCCCTTAAGTAATGGAACCTCACATCAATGTGTTTTGTTCTCTTGTGCATAACCGGATTTTCTGATAACTTTATAGTTGATGTGTTATCGCACATAACTTCAATTGCACCTTCTTGTTTTTCACCCAACTCTTCAAGTAATCCTTTGWGCCATTTGCAATGACATGCACAATTAGTTGCTGCTACATACTCTGCCTCGGTGGATGAGAGTGTGACAATTTCTTGTTTCCTTGAACTCCAACTTACAGCAGCCCCACTGTACAAACATATGTAGCCAGACGTACACTTTCGATCTTCCATATCCCTCGCATAATCACTATCRGTAAAGACTTTCAGTTTTTCATTTGACTCTCTTCCATAGAATAATCCATAGGTAGMTGTTCCCTTTAAGTATCTTAACACCCTTTTTGCTGCATCCAGATGTTCCAGCCTTGGTTTTGACATGAATCTTGCTAGCAAACACACTACATAGGTTAAGTCTGGCCTTGTGACAGTAACATACATAAGACTTCCTATYAACTTCTTGTATTGTGTTGGGTCAATCTCCTCCCCTCCTCCTTCCTTAGTGAGTACAGCACCAGGTACAATTGGRTTATCTACTGGATGACTCTCTTGCATTCAAAACCTTTCGATAATTTCCTTAGAATACTTCTTTTGGCAAATATGAATTCCATCCTMAGATTGCTTTACCTCAACACCTAGAAAGTATTTCATCATGCCAAGATCTGTCATTTCAAATTCCTTTTGCATAGATCTTTTAAAACCTTCACAGATCATAGTATTTGTTCCTGCATATATCAGATCATCAACATAGAGACTTACCACAAGAGTATTATTCCACACCCGTTTGATAAACAAAGTATGATCAAAATGACTTTGTTTGAACCCTTCCTTCTTGAAATACTTCTCTATGCGATTGAACCAGGCTCTAGGAGCTTGTTTCAGCCCATATAAAGCTCTCTTTAATTTGTACACCTTTGCTTCTTCTCCTTGTTTGACAAATCCAAGAGGCTGTTCAACATACACAGTCTCCTTGAGCTCACCATTTAAGAAAGCACTTTTAACATCAAGTTGAAACACCTTCCAATTTCTTTTGAGCAGAGATAGCTAGAATGGTTCGAATAGTGTCCCACCTAGCCACGGGTGCAAACACTTCTTCAAAGTCCACTCTCTTTTGTTGTGCATAGCCTTTAACCACAAGCCTTGTCTTATATTTGTCTATATTCCCTTCTTCATTCAGCTTGGTTTTGTACACCCATTTTACGCCAATAGGTACAGCTTCAGCAGACATATTTACTAACTCCCATGTTCCATTTCTCTCTATTGCATTTATTTCATCTTCCATAGCTTTCACCCACTTAGCTTCTTTTCTTGCTTCTTCAAAGGTAGTAGGATCTCCTTGAGCTGTATACATGGCAAATCCATCTTCTTCTTCTGATAACTCCTGACCAGTTCGATAATCTTGCATCCAAACWGGTTGTCTTCTATTTCTGGTAGAGGATTCAGCTGCCTTACTTGTGACTATAGTACTTCTCTGATCTGCGATGCTTGCTTGTGGGTCTTTATCTGGAATGAGAGTACCACTTTCTTGGGCCTGTTCATGAATTTGTGGTTCCATATCTCCATCTTCTTCACTGTCTGTAACTGCAACTTGATCACCAGGGTCTTCTTCTATTATCAATTCTCCCTCCCTGATAGTTTCTTTATCCCAATTCCATTGTTGATCTTCTTCAAATATGACATCTCTGCTAATGATGATCTTCTTTTGAATTGGATCATARAGCCTGTAAGCCTTAGAACCAATGCTAATGCCGAACAACACACATTTCTGGCTTCTTGCATCTAACTTGGTTCTGACTTGGGAGGGAATATGTACGTGACCAATACATCCAAACACACGGAAGTAATCAACATTTGGCTTCTCTCCAGTCCATAGTTCTGATCTTCAATCTGTAGTGCATGATCTTCTACTTCCTTCTTGACTAGCTTCTGCTCATGCACCAGTAATGAGCTTTGTAACTCATCAATAGTGAATGTATCCAAATCTTTGGATTCTTCAATTGAACACACCACAAAATTAAAATTTGGTGTAAGTGTTCTCAAGATCTTTTCTACCACCTTAACCTCAGTNAATATTTAATTATTTTGTTAGAACTCAATGATTATCTTAATTATATTTTAGATTTTTTTATATTTAAAATGAGATATTTATTATGTATTTGATTATTTTTATCTACAGTTAGTTACAAATAAAAATAAAGATAAAGATCTATTCTTATGCTTCTTATCTTAACTATTCTTTTGTTGATTGAGAGCCAACCCGTTAAATAATAAGTCTTAAAATTATTATAATCGAATATCTAAAATATTGGGTTAAATAGAATATGATTGTCTATTGAAATATATATGAAATTTTCTGAGGCACTGTTTGTGTATTTGGTGTTGGTTTTTTATGATTTAAATATGTTAATAAATAATCAAATATGGTTTTATTTATGTAAATAGACAAATCAAGAAAATTAAAAAATACTCGAAAAACTCATTCATTTGTAAATACACCCTTCAAGAGTAAATTAGATAGTCAAAAACCTTTCAGTCTAGCTCGCATAGCAGTGTTGGCAACATTTAAGTGTTTAGCGGGTAGCATCACCAGCATTAACTACCACCACCGGCACCGGCTACGTGTGAAAATTAGGAAGGATTTGGATGATAAAAGGAGGGACACAATGATTTGGTAGTTGTTAACTGCTCCAAGTGTGTGTCGTCGAGATGGAGGATCCACAACACTCCTAAAAATCAAAGGTTATTTAGCAGATTAGAGGAAACACAGAGCTTTTTTGAGTATTCAATTTCTATTTGTGTAAATTAAGACATTGCTTTCTCTCAAACCCATCATCATCATCATCATCTTCCTCACTCTGCTGCTTTCAGAGGTAACTAACTTCTTCTGGTTTTCCTACCTTTTCATCTTATAAACTGCTCTACGTTTCTTCATCCACTTCTGTGAAAAGAAGATAGGGTTTATGTGCAATTTGGCTTTATTGTTAAATGGAATCTTCTTTTTGTGAACATCAAGAGACTGTGATTTTGGTGTTTTTATGCAGGAGTTGGTTTCGATTTCTAGTGATGCATGCATTGTTGTATTGGATCCAAAATCTGAAGCTCTTTTCTTGACCTAAATTCAAATCACTGGAATTCTACTCAATTGGGATTTACATTCTTGATGAACACAAATATACACAATTTGGTTGTTTAATCCAAGACTTTTGGTGCTCCAACTGATAATTTAAGCATATAGCTCTGCAAACCCAATCTCAAATTCGTGTTGCCATTTTTAATCTTCTTATCTCAAGACCTCACCTATACCAAAATAGTAGATAATCATGGGTGTGGATTAAATCGGTTCCCAAACCATAAATTTACTCTCAACCGCATCTTAACTAATTTGATAACCACCGCTAAATTCAAAACCAAGAGTTGAGAGTAGGTTTGTAGGGTTTATAACAATTATATGGTCTGTATTTGAGGGGCTTCATCATTTAAACTCTCTCTCTCTCTCTCTCTCTATATATATATATATATATATTGTTTTTTGATAACAATGAGAACTTTTGTTTAAGATATTGGTTTTTTCTTAATCATGAACATATATTTGTTTCATATGTATGTGGTTCACATTGTAAAACCTTTTTACTGTTAAAACCAGGTGATAATACGCACACAATTTGACTCTAAAATGTGATGCTTTATTCAATAAATCAAGCTGCCTTTTATAGGCTTACACAGGAAACAGAACAGCAAACTATCAGCTAAGAAATAGGAACAACTAGGACTAATCCAAATACTTATTCAAATCTAAAACAGACTTGGTCATATGACCGTTGTAACCAAAAACTTCAATATTTACATGTAACTTTTGTTTGGCAAACATGTTAAAAGAGGTTCATATTGTGAAACAAATATATGTCAAAAATCCTAGACTTATATGGAAAAAAAAAATCATATGAAGTAGCACGTAATGCACTAGTTCTCAAGGTTATCACAATTTCATGAGAAGACCTCCTCACTCTCTACTCTAAGAGGAAAACTAGGAAAAAGAAAAGAACTGGAGACGAGAAAGGCAAATACTATAATTTTTGGAAAGCTAGTTATGTTAATGAATAAGCAACAACATACAAACAAACAAAAGCAGCAGGCACAGGAAAACCGTAGTCTAACATGAGGCTTTGTTGAGGGATAAGAATAAGAATAAGATAGCAGATAGTAGGATCTGTATGTATATATGTGCGTGTGGGTGAGAGATTCTTGAGTTGGGATTTTACTTATTTTTTGTTGTGGTGTAACTTCAGATTGAGGGTTCGAGTGTCAAGTTGAAGAAAATAATGGATGAGGAAGTTTTCCCTGCTTGGTCATGGTCTGTGGATCGATGCTTGAAAGCGTATAATGTGAAGCTCGAAAAGGGTTTGTCTTCATACGATGTAGAAAAGCAACGAGAACTTTATGGTTGGAACGAGCTCAAGAAAGAGAACAGAAAGCCCGTATGGCAACTTTTCATTCAACAATTTGATGATATGCTTGTAAAGATCCTTATCGTTGCAGCCTTCATTTCATTCGTTCTAGCACGCTTTGAAGCAAACGAAACTAAAGAATCTGGATTCGAAGCCTATGTTGAACCTTCCGTGATCATTCTGATCCTAATCCTAAATGCTCTCGTGGGCGTTTGGCAAGAAAGTAATGCCGAAAAGGCCCTCAAAGCTCTAAAGGAGATGCAGTGTGAATCTTGTAAGACGATAAGAGATGGGTATTTGGTTCCGGATTTGCCTGCTCGAGATCTTGTTCCTGGAGACATTGTGGAGCTGCGAGTAGGTGATAAAGTCCCGGCAGATATGAGAGTTGCGGTTTTGAAAACGTCAACTTTAAGAGTCGAGCAAAGTTCTTTGACGGGTGAATCTGTTCCGGTTCTTAAAGCAACTCGGCCTGTGTTAAATGATGATTGTGATTTGCAGGCTAAAGAAAATATGGTTTTTGCAGGGACGACGATTGTGAATGGGAGTTGTGTATGTATCGTTGTAAACACTGGAATGAGCTCGGAAATCGGGCAAATTCAGAAACAAATACACGAAGCTTCCATGGAAGAATCCGATACTCCATTGAAGAAGAAACTCGATGAATTTGGAAATAATCTAACGATTGTGATTGGGTTTGTTTGTCTTGCTGTTTGGGTGATCAACTACAAGTATTTCTTGAAATGGGAAATGGCCGACGGATGGCCTACGAACGTCCAATTTTCGTTCGAAAAATGCACGTATTACTTCAAGATAGCAGTTGCCCTTGCGGTGGCAGCCATTCCTGAAGGCCTTCCAGCGGTGATTACGACCTCTTTAGCTCTTGGCACAAGAAAAATGGCTCAAAAGAACGCGATCATGAGGAAGCTTGCGAGTGTGGAGACTTTAGGATGCACGACTGTAATCTGTTCAGATAAAACTGGAACGTTGACTACCAACCAGATGTCGGTGATGTCGATTTTTACGTTTGGAGGGAAAACGACGGCTCCTAGGATGTTTCCTGTGGAAGGAACAACGTACGATCCTAAAGATGGGTGCATTGTTGATTGGAAGTGTTTCAATATGGACGCTAATTTGCAGTCCGTGGCTGAAATATGTGCGGTTTGTAATGATGCTGGGATTTATAGCGACGGTTGGGTTCTTAGAGTTACAGGTTTGCCTACCGAAGCTGCTTTGAAGGTGTTAGTAGAAAAGATGGGGGTTCCGGATGCGAAAGCGAAAAACAAGATTCGTGAATCGCGGATTATGGGAAATTATTTGATTGATAACAACATCATAAAATTCGGCAAGAGTTGGAACTTTTTCTATACGTCTTTGTCACTAGGGGCAGGTTCAAATGAGAACCGTCAATATTTTTTGAGAACCAAGTATTTCATGAGTTATTCACAATGAATAACCCTTAAATATTCGTGATAGGACTATATTCATCATGAATAATTGGTTCCCGGGTTCCAAAAATATTTATGGTTCTCATTTGAACCCGCCCCTTTTGCAATTCTGTTTAATCTGATGTTCGGAAATGTTATTGAATATTTTCACTTGTTTTTATGGAGTGTAGGGTGCTGCGAATGGTGGACGAAGAGATCAAAGAGGCTTGGCACATTGGAATTAGACCGCGTTCGTAAGTCCATGAGCGTTATTGTACGTGAGCCATCGGGTCAGAATCGGTTGCTTGTCAAGGTAACATCAATAGTGTTTGATAGCTTATTGAAAAATCTTTTTACATTGTTATCTAGTCTATCAACTAGTTTATCAGTCAACAACTAACTTATCAGCTAAATTTCAAAAAATCTTGAATCATTTTCTTAGCACCTGAACTAAAACTGGTTGCTCAGGGTGCGGTCGAGAGTTTAGTAGAGCGTAGTTCACATGTTCAGCTAGCGGACGGGTCTGTTGTTCCGATGGACGAGGCTTGTAGGAAGCTATTGCTTTCAAGACATGCGGAAATGAGTTCAAAAGGGTTACGATGTTTGGGTTTGGCTTACAAAGACGATCTTGGTGAGCTAGCGGATTATGATGGCGAACATCATCCTAGCCACAAGAAGTTGGTCGATCCAACTTGCTATGTTTCCATTGAAACCGACCTCATCTTTGTCGGGGTTGTTGGTCTACGGGTAAGTGATAATCTATATCTTCTAAGGTCATCTTCGGCAACCATAAGCTATTTCTTTTTTTGAGCTTAATGGAAAAGCTGTTCAATAAGCATTTATGATTCTATTCTCGGATCTATCATATTGTGGAATTAATTTACAGGATCCTCCTCGCGAAGAAGTGCACTCTGCGATTGAAGATTGTCGTGGAGCCGGAATAAAAGTGTTGGTGATAACGGGAGATTATAAGTCGACTGCAGAGGCCATCTGTCGGGAAATTCGATTATTCCATGAAGGCGAAGATCTCGGAGGTAAAAGTTTCACCGGAAAAGAATTCATGGGACTCTCTCCTTCGAAACAAAGGGATATTTTGTCAAAACCCGGGGGGAAGGTGTTCTCTCGTGCAGAACCAAGGCACAAGCAAGAGATCGTGCGGATGCTTAAGGATATGGGTGAAGTTGTAGCCATGACTGGAGATGGTGTGAACGATGCTCCGGCTTTGAAACTTGCCGATATCGGAATTGCTATGGGGATTACCGGAACCGAGGTTGCTAAAGAGGCGTCAGATATGGTTCTAGCCGACGATAACTTTAGTACCATCGTTTCTGCTGTTGGCGAGGGTCGGTCAATTTATAACAACATGAAAGCGTTTATCAGATACATGATATCATCGAATGTCGGAGAGGTTATATCGATTTTCTTAACGGCTGCAATCGGGATACCGGAATGCATGATCCCCGTGCAGCTTCTATGGGTTAATTTGGTTACCGATGGTCCGCCTGCTACCGCTCTTGGTTTCAATCCAGCCGATGTTGATATAATGAAAAAACCACCTCGTAAAAGCACCGACACCCTCATAGATTCGTGGGTTTTGTTTCGTTACTTGGTTAGCCTCCCTTTTTCTACAATCAGAACTATTCTTTGGTCCTTCCGTAGTAGTTGGGTGTACAGGCCAGCTTGAACGGCCAGAGAAATCCCAATACCCGACCTAGCCTTTATTTGTCAGTTAAGTTGGCTAGGTTAACTTACACGATTTGGTTTTTATTAATGGCAGGTTATCGGTTCTTACGTGGGTATCGCGACTGTCGGTGTTTTTGTTGTATGGTACACACAACCATCGTTCATGGGTATCGATTTGACAGGAGATGGGCATACACTTGTTACAGTATCTCAGCTCCGAAACTGGGGAGATTGCTCTTCATGGCCGGATTTCTCAGCTACACCATTTGCGGTTGGTGGCAACCGAGTGATTAGTTTCTCAAACCCGTGTGATTATTTCACCACTGGAAAAGTCAAAGCGATGACGTTATCGCTATCCGTATTGGTGGCGATTGAGATGTTTAATTCCCTAAATGCCCTTTCGGAAGATAACAGTTTGTTAACAATGCCACCTTGGAAGAACCCTTTCCTTCTTGTTGCCATGGCTGTTTCCTTTGGCCTTCACTGTCTCATTCTTTATGTTCCTCTCCTGGCACAGGTGTTTGATGTCGTTCCGTTGGGTTTAAACGAATGGGTTTTCGTCATCTTGGTTTCGGCACCTGTCATCCTTCTCGATGAATTGCTCAAAATCGTCACAAGAAGTAGAAAACGGACGACAAAAATAAAGTTAGCGTAAGTTAGAAAGCGGAAAGCACACATACAGATATCATGTGTTTTAGAAGACCTTTTTGCTACTTTCTTTGCTTTCTGTGTATCCGATGACATGACGTTGGATCCAGTGTGTAAATCTTTGAAGAACAATCGTATGTATCAAATAGAAGAAATCATGTATATATGTCGATGATCATCCTTAAATCTTTTCATGTGTTGTTCATTCTGCTTCGAACCATCGACAAGATCTGATACTAGAAAATAATTACACGCAGGATGACATCTGGTTCAGGTTTAGAATGTCACTGCTTGACAGAAAAATATCACTTCCATACATAAAAATGCTTAAAAACCTGTCAGAAGATCATGGATTTAAAGAACGAATTTTCAGCCAAAACATTCGAAAATGGTTGCATCTTCATGATGCTGCTTCATCTTTAAAGAAACTTCGTTTAGTATCCAGTAGATTTCATCGGATCTCGGATGTGATCTATCATCTACAATGAACTTATACACTTGATTTCCTTCTTCAATGAAGCTATACCCGGCTGCCTTTATGATTCGAGAACCCTTCATCATCTTCCTTAGCTTAGCAACTCCATCCCACCGGCCAGTATTAGCGTATATATTGGATAAAATTACATAATTGCCCGGGTTCCACGGCTCTAGCTTGTAGAGATGTTCGGCTGCAATCTCAGCTAGTTCAACATTATTATACAAACTGCATGCCCCTAGCAGGGTTCCCCAGACTACTGAATCGGGTTTCATTGGCATAGATTGTACAAGATTGTAGGCTTCTCGTAGTTCTCCAGCACGGCCAAGAAGATCAATCATGCATCCATAGTGTTCAAGTTTGGGATTTATGGAGAAATCATTCTTCATTGATTTGAAGAGCTCTCGGCCCTTCTTCACCATCCCTCCATGGGTGCACGCGAGGATTGCTCCCACGAATGTCACGTCATCTGGTGCTGTGCCTTCTCCCTGCATGAGCAAACATTCTGAGGTTGTGCTTTCTCTTAACCAAGTGATCTAAGTTGTTCTCTCAAGGTTACCAAAGCATCAAATACAATTGCCGTACTAAATAAGACATTCTAAGCACTTGCAGTATAGCAAAATCGGCTTTATAGGATGCTAAATATGTCTAAATATGCTAAAAGACTGCTTTATAGGAGATAGGTTTATAGGATCAGCAATTGTATGTCATATGTAAAAGTGTTACAATAAGTTGATAGGATACTTTTGGAAGTCCCAACAAGCTTTTTGGAACTTCTATAAAATAAAACGTCATATTAGTCTTTTTGAACGATGTTACTTGAAAAAGTGTCGTATAAAAACAAGTATTCTATAAAAAGATGTGTTTATAGTAAACCTTCCAAAAGTGTCATGTGAAAAAACTAATATGACCTTTCGAAAGTGTCCTAAAAACTTGTTAAGATGTTCAAACACGTCCTATAAACTTACTGCAAAACTTTTACATAAGACGCATAATCGTTTAGTCCTATAAACTTAAGTTCTAAATTTGGACATATTTGGCGTCTTATAAAGCCGAAATTGTTGTAGTGTATTTTGTTACTGAGATGAGACTATTACCAGCATTTGGTGGAATAGCTGAAGAGCTTGATTAGATTTTCCATGGACAGCCAAACCCACGAGCATAGTATTCCAAGAGCACAAGTTTCTCCTTGCACCAATTTCTTCAAATATGGCCGTAGCCTTATCGATCCGACCACATCTGGCATACATTTCCAGTAATGCATTGCACACGAACAAATTCTTGAAGTATCCTCGAGCCCGTGCATAGCTTTCAATCCTTTGTCCAACCTCCAATGCTCCAAGATTGGCACAGGCTGGAAGAGCACTAGCTATCGTCACTTCATTTGGCTGAATACCTTTCACTTTCTCCATTTCAAGAAACAACTTTAGAGAAGTCGCGTATTTCGCGTTCTGTGAGTACCCAGATATCATAGCAGTCCAAGAAACGACATTTTTTACAGGCATTTCATCAAACAGTTTGGATGCACCCTCCATATCCCCGTTTCTTGCGTACCCTGCTACCAAAGAATTCCAAGTGGGCACGTCTCTCATTTCCATTTTGTCAAACACTTGGCGTGCAGAAGGTAAGAAGCCCAGTTTGGCATACATGTCGACTAAAGCTGTGGACGCATAAAGATCAAACTCGTAACCCAATTTAATGAGATGGGCATGAAGCATAAGACCTTGGGGTAGGGAGTGAAGAGTGGCGGAAGCAGCGAAGAGGGAGGTGAAGGTGTGCTGATTAGGGGAGCAACGATTAAGGCACATTTGGGTGTAAAGCAGAAAACATGTATGGGAAGGGCCATGTGAAGAGAAAGCTTGAATGAGTTTGTTGTAGAGGAAGACAGTTGGTTGAGGAATAAGGTGGAAGAGTTTGTGAGCGTAAGAGATGTTGGGGATTTGTAGAAGCTTGGTGATTAGAAACTTGGTGAAATCTATGCCATTACGGAGGGTGTGGGCATGGATTTGTTTCAAATGGTTCATAATAAAAAAATCACTTTGAAGTTTCATGCCATCTGATTCTGCGAAGAACAACCAAAAACCGGTCCTCGACTTGAAGCGTAATGGTTTTTATGCTCTCAACGTTCCTAATTCCTATGGTTGTGTCATGTGTGTGTATACATACGTCAATTTTGTGTTTGCATAAATAAATAAAAAAAACAGTTTGAAAGGGATGCTATATTTATAATAAAATTCTTTATTTTATAACAAAAAACGACTAGGTGTGCTTCTAATCTTTTCAGTTCCGTTTCAGGCCTTGGAGTTATAAATAAAGAAACAAGACACCGTTTTTCTGGGACTGATTTGTGAGTTAAAAAGACTGGGTGGGCGATGGTAATTTGAAATTACAAGAACAAAAATACATACACACTTTGTTTGATTCGTTTAGTTTCTTCCTTGAGCAAGAGATTTGTATTTTGTACTGAGAGATAGATAGATAGATGCCTATTCGAGTTGATAATCTAAGTCTAACAAACAAAGAGTGGGATCGCATTTTATTGCATACTGCTGAAATTGGTGACTCTTTTAACAATTTCGGATCATTTTAAAAGTTCAATTTCCAAAATCAGATTCTGTGTAGAACAAAGATTACATTGGTTTCGAATTGAAATGCTAAAATATAATACAATAAAAAGAATTCTTGTTATACAATATTATTTGAAAAAATGTCACTTCCTACAACACAACTTAAACAAGACCTTTTAATTTATTGTTTGGTCCTATAAACTTAAAATCTCATCTCATCTATTGGGACACGGGACAAGTAGAAAATGTTGGCCATTTTGTTCTCGTCTACCTAATCAGCTTCCTTGACCAAAACTGAATCAAGAATGGCTTCCACCTTGTTTCTCCGATTACTACCAAACCTAGTTACCAGAACTTGCCAAACATCTGCATCCATCGCTTGTCCGCTTAAACCCGCAGCCATATCAAGTACCTTCATCACGTTCCTTTCATCCCCCGAGTCACACAGTCCCATAAGTAAGATAGAGTACGTACTTTTATTCGGCAGACACCGCTTCTCCAACATCTCTTCCAAAATCTTCATCCCTTCCTCTGCATTACCAGCTCTGCAAAACCCTTTGATCAACATGTTATATGTAAATGCATTAGGAACACAACCCTTCTCCACCATATCATCCCATAACCTACCAGCTTCACACAACTCCCCCATCTCACACATACCGGCAATCAGGGTATTATACGTTAAAACGTTTGGAATCGAACTCTTTTCAAACTCATCGAACAGTTTTCTAGCTTCCCGAATCTTCGCTTTTTTACACAACCAGTGTATCAGTGTAGTTGATATCGAATTATCGGGAGTACAATTCTTCCTCAAAAGCTTCTTCCATAAATCACACGCATCTTCCACCTTCCCGTTCTCGCATAAAACATCGATCAACCTACAACAAAGAGCAGAAGTCGGCACGTATTTCTTCTCCAACATATCATCTAGCAAATTCAAAGCTTCACCGGTCTTCTTTTCTTTACAAAAAGCTTCAATCATAACCCCATAAGTGACATCATTTGGCTCGATTTTGTTATCCTCCATCTCGTCCATCACTTTGACAGCATCAACCAATCTTCCTTTCTTACAAAACCCATCCATCAAGATTGTGTAAGTGGTGGCGTCAGGAATCCATCCTCGATCAAGAATTTGATCAAACATCTTCTTTGCTTCTATCATATCCCCTTTGTGGACATAAGCTCCCAATAGAGTAGTATAAGTCACGACATTTGGTACCATGCCCATGGCTGGCATTTCGTCCAACACCTTGAGTGCACCTTCTATGTCACCGTTGTTGCAAAACGCTTTTAAAAGAATGTTACAAGTGAACACATTTGGTATGATATTGAACTTCTCTCGACTATTTCTGAACAAAGCATGTACCAATCGGTATTTTCTGTTCTGAATCAAAACGTTTAGAAGGGTGTTCAAAGAGCGTACGGACACCGTGACACCAAAGTCCTTGATCCGCAAGAAGGTGCGTAAGGAGTCTTTAGGACGGCTGGCGAGTCCATAATTACGTAAGACATCAATAAAGAGATTCTCACCACACTTGATGCCTGATTTGTGTAGCTGGGAAAGAAGGGTCTCAAGTGGTTGAAAGGCACGGGCACGAGCGAGCTTGTGGATGATGGAATGATAGGTCTGGTAATTATGTTCAAAGCCGGGGTGGTAGTTGCCGGCATGGTAGAAGATTTGGAGGGCAAGGTCTAGGTTTTGTTGGGAGGTGATGATGGAGACGAGGCGTTTGGGGTGGAGTCTTTGAGGCCAAGGTTTGATTGGGGGAGTAACAGTGTAGGATTTTAGGAGTTGGGATTTGGATTGGATGGTGGAGAGGTGGTGGTGCCAAGTGTAGTAGCGTGTGATACTGAGGCGATGATGGATTTTCGCAGCTGCCTTCATCGTCTTCCTTGGCTTTACAAGTCGATCACACCAGCCATTATTTGTGTATCTATTCATCTGACAAAACAATGGCCAAATTGGGGTTAGCAAGAAGTGAATATGTTTGATATCAAAATTTTCAAAGCTCTACAATTCGAATACATTTTCCCTTTGTATCCTTACAACACATCACAAAAGAGGCGGACGCAGAAAAATATATTGTAGGGGGCACATTTCCTTTACTCCCGACAATTTTTTTTGGAAATGCATGACCCCGTGGTTGACAAGGTTCTCTAAGCAAATATTTTCTCCTTATTTCATCCCTTTGAATAGGATTATATTCCGAAATCTTTTTACTTTCGGCAGGATACCAAGGAAGATCGTTCAAATCAATTTCGCAAGATATCGAAGGAGCAGAGCTCGATTCCGGTGTTGATGCTTTCCTTTTAAAAAAAAATTCCATTAGATTTGCCTAATTGCCTACAAAATTAACCAACAAAATTAACCTAAAATACCTAACCTAAAGCATTTACTAATTACCAATTACCACAAAATTAACCAACAAAATTAACCTAAAGCATTTACCAATTACCACAAAATTAACCAACAAAATTAACCTTAAGCATTTACCAATTACCACAAAATTAACCAACAAAATTAACCTAAAGCATTTACCAATTACCACAAAATTAACCAACAAAATTAACCTAAAGCATTTACCAATTACCACAAAATTAACCAACAAAATTAACCTAAAACATTTACCAATTACCACAAAATTAACCAACAAAATTAATTTAAAATAAATACCTAACCTAAAGCATTTACCAATTACCAATTACCAATTACCACAAAATTAACATAAAATACTACTAATTGAAGTTGGAAATTAGAAATTTAGAAATTAGAAATTACCAAATACCCAAGAGGCACAGTCGGTCGGTCAGTCCACTCCAGTCTGCTAGGGCCTAGGGTTCCTTTCCTTGATTCCTTCGTCGATCGTCGACGTTTCTAAGGTAGACGCTAGGGCTAGGATTCCTTTCCAGCTTTCCTCCATGACTCTCAGTCTCTGTCGCAACTCACGATGAAGAAGAAGAAGAGAAGAAGGGAAGAAGACAGAAGTGATGTGATGGTGAGGTCGGTCGCAGCCGATGCCCGATGAAGAAGAAGATTAGAAGACGGTAGACGGTAGTCTCAAGTCTGGTCGCTACTCGTCGCTTGCTTGCAGCCTTGCACTAAGACTGAACTGAGGTTAGAATTAGAGCATGGAGGGGCCTCTTGCATCTTGTTGTTGGGGGCCCAAATTCATTTCATTGAAAAATACAAGTAAACTAATTTTTTTTTGGGCTTTCTTGTTAAAAATTTGTTGGGGGCCCAGGACCCCTACCCTCATCACATACGTCCTCCCCTTACACATGAAATCCCAAGAACAGAGAAATAAGCAAGTATTTTTAAGGCGAGGAAGAAAAACCTTGAGCAGATGATGAATCGATGACGACACTTGGAGACTGAGAAACCCTAAAAGACATTGGAGCCGTTGACAACACTTGGAGGCTGAGAAACTCTTTTGATTCTTCGATCACAACACTTGGAGGCTGAGAAACTCTTAATTCTTCGATCACAACACTTGGAGACGGAGAAACCCTAAAAGACATTGGAGCCGCTGATTCTTCGATCACAACAAGACATTGGAGCCGATGATAACACTTGGAGAATGTATTCGAATTGTAGTGTTTGGAATGAAAAAAAAAAAAATTGTTTATATCGGTGTAAAATCGATAATAATAAATTTTTTATAAGTTACTCAACTTTAATTTATTAGATTTGGAAACCAATTTACCTTTTTTATCCTCACACACCTCCTTTCTTTAACCAAAAACTCTTTGAAATCGATCAAGGGACCTTCCATTTATGCTTCACCATTCCTCTGAAATCACAGCAAGGAACGGAGGGAGAAGAAACCTCAGCAAGTTTGCGTCGACTCAGAACATCTCTTCCAATGAGCTTATTCGACTGAATCCTCGACGAAGATAATGTAGAAGAAACAGAGGGTCTTGGAAGAGGAGCAGTGAAGAAGCGAGAATTGGTTACGATGAAGCATAAATCGATCAAGGGACTTTCGACCATTCCTCTGAAATCGAACCAAATTTCTTGATGTGATTTCTTCTCCATCAACAGAAATCGATCAAGAACTTCACCTATAGAAATCGAAATTAAACCTTCGATTGAAACCTTCACCTACAAAAGTTGATCGAAACTTTTACCTACAGAAAGTGAAATCAAACCTTCGATCGAAACCTTTAACCAATTTCTAAATAAATCGAAAAGGGTTAAGGGTTCTTCCTTCAGGATTACTTTCTGAAAAGGGTTTAGAGTTCTTCCTTATGCAAGGGACCTTCGAACACAGTTCCTCCTTCCTTGTATCTTTTTTTGGTCATTTTACATGTATAAGCAAAATTTGTCAAACACTGAAAAAAACAACTTATTAGCTTATTACGTTTTGGTACCGCCATAAGCTAATCCAAACACTTTTCATAAAACCTGATTTAACACCACATAAACTGATAAACAATTTTACAAAAAAAACTTAAACTATTTTTTAAATAAGTAATCTCAAACATCGTCTCAAAAACTTTTTTGGTTCTTCGATCACAACACTTGGAAAGTGAGAAACCCTAAAATGATAACACTTGGAGAGTGAGAAACCCTAAAAAGACATTATGATTCCAATTTTCCACTTTTGATTTCAGATAGACTTCCACAAGGTTTTGGTTTTGGTTTTGGACTCATTTATACCAAATTCTATTTCTACTACAAATTGATTTGTTTTTATTTTTTTCAATTTAAACATCTTTTTTAAAGCAAAATTAATTTATGGGGATTTTGCAAAATCTACCAACTAATTTTCAATTTTGCAATATGACTTGTATTGAATTTTGCATCTGATTTTAAATTCCACATCATTCTTTTTTATGTTATGTATGTATGTATGTTATCCACGAGTTACAAAAAGATGAAATCTTAATCAGATAACTATAGAACCTTAAGCTATCACTCAATCTATCATCGTTTAAAACATGGGGGTTTATTGTGATTTCAACCTCGGCAACAAGGAGGAGTTTTAGCAATGGTGACCCAAAGAAGAGTGACCATGATGATCCATATTAACCACTCATTCAATAAGCTCTTTCTTATCATTAAATCATTTCCAAACGATTTAATATGGCAAAACGAATAAGCCTGAGTTAAACTATTTTTAAATAGGTTGTAAACGTCTCCTTTGAATAAATATATCAAACACCAACCAAGCAATGCAATAAATGGAGTGATATTAATATAGATTGATTTGATTTGATTTGATTACAAATAACTCTGAATCAATTCTTCATACCCATTTGTGTCTTTCTTGTGATTGATGTACACACTTCCATCCACTCCTTTGAAAACTCCATATCAACAAATTAACACATAACAATAATCCACAAATTAACCAACCACCCCTAAACTTGTGTAATTATTCAGCTCATGGTAAATCCTCTGGAACTCCTCCATCACTTGTGCCACCATACCGGATTTATTCTTGGCCACCAACATCTTCACCATGGTCACCACCTGTCGCTGGAGCTTTGCTTTCTGGGACACCTCCTTTATCACTCTCCCCTTTACACCTTCTTCCACGGTTGGGTCTGCCATCATATCCTTCAATAACTCATGATGTTGTAGCCACTTTGACAATCTTTTCACATCCTTATGGATCGCATGTAGCGAATGACTGCAGAGTGCGGCGTCAATGAGCGCCGCAGCGTAGCCGGTAGCGGCCTTGCGGTGGGATGGAGTAAGAGATGGAAGTTGGGGTGAGGGTGAGGGTGAGGGTGAGGGTGAGGTGAAGTTGTGGTGAGAGGAGAGAGTAGGTTTGGTTGATATGGAGGAAGTGGAAGTGGAAGTGGAGAAGTGGTGAAGAAGAGGAGGTTTGAGATGGGAAAAATGATGGGCTTTTGGATGGAAGTTAGGAAGATTGATGGATGAAAGAGGTAGAGGGGCAGAGAAGGCGTCCATGGTGGGTGTTGTGTGTTGTGGTGGTGGGCGATGGATGGAGATAACAATAACATAAGAGTTAGAGATTGACTCAAACTCAAACACCAACTTCACAGTTGTTCTGTTTTTGTGTGGTGTAGAGTGTAGACCAACTCCACCCACATGTTTAATTTCTCTCACAGAATTAGAAGTAGAATTAAATCAAAATGTAATAAATTTTCTGTTTTTTGTTTCTAAAAATATGAAAGGGGAGAATCGTGTTATGTGATTAAATGTTTTATTATTATTATTATTATATATGGTTTAAGATTTTCGTAAATTAACCGCTTTCTCTCTCATATAGTCTTAAAAATAAATAAAAGGTAGAAGTAAAAGGGTAAGAATACATGATAACCTTTCTTTCTATAATGGGATGGTACCCAACCCAATACACATATTCTGGTAATACTTAATTCAATTATCCTCCTTTTTTAGTTTTTATTTAAATCCTCTTTTTAATCTAATTTAATTCTATATTCATAAATATATAATAATATTTTAATTAAAAAAAAATGATCTAATGGATATATGCATACGACCATTGAGGTTATGGTTTGGCCACCCCTTTCATACTTCATACTTATTACTTAATAATAAACATCATGTTCTTATTTATTTCTTTTCTTTAATTAACTCAACTCTTTGCCTTTATTTATTTATTTATTTATTTATATATAATGTTAATTCATTTCAACTTTTCTTTTAATTATTATTAATTGCCCTTTTAATACAACAATAAATTCAATGATGAAGGATAAGAAGATGATACATCTACGTCATAGCAACAAGAAACATTTAGATGTTGCTTACCAAGAGAAAGAATAAGTCCCCTCTATATCCTTGTCGACTTTAATCCTCCATTGTTTGTAGATAACTACATTAAGTTGTATCTATTTTCCTTCCAATATTTATTTATGATATTTTCCTGTGAAAAACTTGTAAAAGTTACTCCTACAAAGACCGATCATTTCAACCTATATGAATGTCCTTGTAACAACATTGATCATTGAACCAGGGTATTTATTCATCTTGGAAGTGGCTACTTAAGGTTTTAATTTTGTTTTTTCTATGTAGGATATTATAGTTTGTTTCTTGATATAGAGAAAATGAAGATTCAAGAAACACTAAATTAACCAAATGTTAAAATAGATGAAAATAACAAAAACACGTAATACTTTTGATGGTTTCGTACATAAACCAAATCCTAAACAAAAACTAGATTACAAGACTTTTTTCTATAATCAACAAACCATAAGGATCAAATCTATAATAATGAATAAACTATAAGGATCAAATCTGTACTTTATAATAATTAAATACAAAGAAAAAAGGTAAGTTTTATTTAAAGAATTAGCAAATACAAAATGCTTTTAAACTATGGACTCGCCTATTTATATCATCAAATACAATTCGGCTTCGGCTTCCTAATAATTATTAAATAATAATAATTAGAATCCAAATTAATAATTGTTAGGTTCTTATAGAAAAGTAAAGAGAATAATTAAAATTTTGATGAATAAATTCTACAATTACATCTACATAACTCGAATCGAATCGCAAAACACTAGATAACAATTGGAATTTAAAACAACAAGATACTGAGTGTTTGTAAAGAAAAGGTTTGCCACATCATTTAGGTGAAGAGATGACAAATTCATAATTATTTAATAAAACGAGTCGATAAGAACAAGTATATGAATTAAATATATGATGATCTCATAAATTCACAGATTACCCCTTTGATTCGACCACAAAACCCTCTTAAATAAAAATACAAAACTGAATGGTGCGTTATGAAAATTGTACCAACAAATCACACCTACCATTTGATTCTCACATCAATCTACAACTACCTTCTTCCAACCAACAATCCTATCATTACCAAATATGTCAATTTTTCATTTATTACTTGTTCTACAACAAATCAAATTAAAATGTGGGGTCAAACTTCATTTTCTTCTTATCATATATATTAATCAATGTAAAGATTTACTTTTTACATTTTCAATATATAATTTATGGTATGTTTGTTAACAACACCCATAACTTATTTGAAAAGTTATACATGACTATTTGTTGGTAACTTAAATGATTTATTGAGTTAACTGTGCAGATAATCAAGTTTATGTTATTTTCATTCGTAAGAAAACCCTTTCAAACAAAAACCTTATTAATCTATTCGAACAAATTAATCCGTAAAGACAACTACATTTATACAAGTTGAAATCAACCAACCAACATGCAAATAAAAATACCTTTAATTTTCTATACCGACAAATATATTTAACTTTCCAATTGGCAATTGGCACCCAAACATATATTAATTAATAAAATAAAATAAAAAGTATGTTTTTGGGGTGCATATCTATCATTTCCCAAATCAAAACAAAGTAAGTAGAAAGAATTCACAAATTATTTTCTTTTTCCTTTTCCTTTTCTTTTTCTTCCCTAATAATAAAAAAAAATAAAAAACAATATTGGGTTGGGTTGGGTTGGGTTGGGAATGGGATGGGACCCACACAATACTTACTAAACTAGTCGTCATCATTATCACCGGCGATCCATGGACCCTGAAAACTGATCCGACGGCCCAATTTTCTTGCTGCTTTTCATCTTCAGCAGACCGTACAGCTTCTGAATCTCTTTCACAACAGGCACGCTACAGCTGCTATCCATCACCAACACGCTAGATGTTTCCGCCACCGATGACGACGATTCCTCCGCCGCTAACACGCTTTTCCTACCGTCGCCGTTGATCTGTAAAGCTGTCATCACCGACCGTAAAGCTCGCCCTGGGGACCCACGGTTACAGATCATCAGCTCGCTCATCTCTGCTGGACTCATCGTTGCTCCCGTCTGGAAGATCTCTTCCACTTGAGGAAACAATTTGTGATCCTTTACACCTAAGCAGTTGTTCGCTAATGTTTTGAACGAATTGAAATTACACAAAGGAAAATATATATGAACATCGATTCTGCCAGGCCGTAGAACAGCCGGATCCATCTTTTCTTTACTGTTCATCGTGAAAACCATCAATTTCTCGTCTCCGCAACACGAATTTAATATGCCGTCCATGAAGTTTAAGATTCCTGATAGACTCACCGTCGTCGAATTTGATGTGATAAATCGATCTAGATCTTCGACTACCACCAGTGACTTGCTGCTTGTTTGTAATAGAAGCATTTTCAGATCGGAATCGTCTACCACTTTCGAGAGGTCAATATCGTAGACATCGTATGACAGAAATTTGGCCATCGCGGCAATGAAACTGGATTTTCCGGTACCAGAAGGTCCGTAGAGGAGATAACTCCGCTTCCAAACACGGCCTAATCGGTGATAGTACTGTCTGGACTTGAGAAAAGCTTCCAAATCGGATTTAACCTTCTTTTTCAGATCTGAATCCATGGCTATCGTCTCGAGGGTAGCCGGATGCGTTAAGCGGACGGACCTCCACCGTCCTATGCTCCCGTGGTCATCCGATAGCGTCGCCGTGTTCATATAAAGCTTCAGCTCCTTACATCTGGAGTCGATATCTTCTGAAGCTCTGTAAATATGCTGAATATAAGATTGCAAAATCCTTCGCTTATCTTTCTTCTTTAACTTGAGCAGAAAGGTTTTTTTGCAAAGGCCATTTTCCTCAATTCTCTCGACTCTGTTTGTCCAGGAAACCCTAGCACCGAGGAAGGTGTCTAGAATGGTCTGATCATCATCGAGGCATAGAACGACACCGTTTGGCTTCTTCCCGTAAATGAGGTTGGTGAAATCGGAGTCTTCAATGGTTGATAAGGAATTGAGGTAGGTAGAAACCTTGCGATAAAACAGATTCTCCTGGTTGTTTTCATTGAGTTGAGGTACTTTGAGCGATTGATGGACATGAATTCGATCTTCAATCCAGTGGCCCCATTTCTTCAAACGATAAATCAAAGTGGTTCGATAGAAAAACAAGCGAACAGATATTAAGAAAGAAATAATAAGAAACAGGAATAGAAAAAACCCCATTAGAAGTGTGAATAAGGATTTGTAAGAATGAATCAGTGATGGTATGCGTTGAACATCGTTGAGGAGCAGCGAATGTGTTTGTATGTATGTATGTATGTAGTGTTTGTTGGCTGGCGGTGGTGGGCAGCGGCCGGAGGAGATTGTTATGCTGAAAGATAGGGAGAGAGAGAGAGAGAATAAGGAAAGGAGAAGGGGTCACAGCATCCGCGTAAATTACGAGTAGGGGGGAATTAAATATGGATAGGAAAGTTCCAATTTAGGGGGTAGTTTGGAAATTTTGAAAGGAGGGATATGAAAGAAATACAAGTGTACAAAACTAAAACTGAAACTGTGGAGTAATTACATAAATAACCTTGAGTTGAGATTTTAGCCATTATCTCAATCAAATTCAAATATGCGACTATCATTCCACAACTAAACTAGTAATTATATTCTATGTAATTGTTAATTAATTCCTAGTATTTAATTAACCATCGTATCACATGTGTAAAATTATCAACTAGCCATGGCATGGGAACCATTTCTTAACACATCTTCTTCTTAAGGTAAATAAGTTGTTATTATTGAAGAGATGCTAATGTTTGATGAAGAAATTAGAGATATATTGTAATTAAGCAATCAGAGGTGGTGAAGAAAATTAAAGTAAAAAATAACAAAAATACAAGATATGTAATTTGTAATTAAAAAAATAAATGATATGAATAAAGAGAATGTATGTTTAGATAAAAAGTAAGAGTGTGGAGAGTTGGTAGTAATAAATAATAATTGGAGTGAATTTAGTAAGGGTGGTTCATTTTTGTTAATGTTCAATTTTCATCCTTACAAAAACATTCGAGAATTCTTTTCATTCCAATCCAATCCAGGTTTTTGAGTTTCTAAATTAAAAGGGGCTTGTCTATGTTTGTGACGAGAGATATGACCAAAGATTGTATACGTGACCTGTGTTCATGTAATTGGATTTAATGAAAAAAACATAAGAGTTGTTAAGAAAGTTTGTTGAACATATAGAAACATGTTAGATGAAAACAGAGTAAATAAAATTTAAAATACCCTAATTTTCTTTGTCATTGTTTTATATGATTTAGTTATATATGTTTTGTTTTGTTTTGTTTTTGTGGTTGAGTTTGAATATATTTAAAAACATTTAAGCATATATATATATATATATGTTATAGAAATAGAAATAATAATAATAATGATAATGCGTGGTAAGCATTTGCCCATTTCATTCCCATATGACGATGGATGATAGCGAAAGTCTCTCTACCCATCACGTCACATTTTCTTTTTTCTTTTTTCTTTTTCCTTTTTCCTTTTTTTGGAATCTTTTGCCTCAACATAATAACTATTATTTTCTGAACAAACAAACAAATAAATAAATAAATATATATTAATGGATGGTGGCGGGTCCAACGTGTGTTATATATAAATAATACATTTATGTGGGCACAAAACACTTGTATATTTTATTTTGTACATATTTTTGTAGTCCATACGCACAGGGGCGGAACACACACTTTCCAAGCGCAGGGGCCGAACCTAATATTATATATTTTCAAAAATGCCAAAAATACACTGGGACGATGTGTTAGTAAGGTTTGGGGTTATCCAATCAGACACACTTATCTTTTACTCATGGGTTGAAGATGRAATAAGGAAAAGGGAATAACAGGGGATCAAATGYAGAGAAAGGATAGAAAAYGACCCAAGTAAGACAAGCACCTGTCAAAAAACGGGCTAGTTGTCCGAGCACGTGAGAAAAGAAAAGGGAAAATACACTAAAGACCCTTCAGACTATGATACACTAAGGATCCCTTGTTCCTCCTTAGCCATCAGTTCTTAAGTCATCCCCTATAGCCCCACTACAACCCATCAAAGACCTGGATGATCTTCTAGAAAACTTGACATCATTTAGGCCTTGTATTTTGTTAGTATTCCTTGTATTACTCCTTTTCTAGTTCATACTCATCATCCTCCTTGAAATAATCACCTAAATGCTAAATCACCTAAATGCTAAATCAGTAAACTGTAAATCAGTCAATTTAGCCCTAATAATCACCTAATTGCAAATACCCTCCATTTCTAGTTCATACTCATCATCCTCTTTGAAGTAAGCTCTTTGTTGGTAAATAAAATCTTGTGGCAATACAAATTCTTTAGAACTTCTCTTTGATGAGTATCTCATCTTCTGCAGAACAATGACCATTAAGAATCTTTTGGTAGTTGAGTATACAATAGATTTCTAATTTCTAAGAATTTACTTTATATCCAATTATTCATGAGTTGTATTCTTCATTTTAAATAAATTATTTAGCATTCTATATGTTACATTAGTATCTGCAAGTAAACATGATGCTAGACACCAAAAACGACAGTAATGTTATTGTGTGTTAGATATCGAAATGGAGCAACAGTTAAGTGGTATAAGTTAATTTCAACAAAATGAAACTCTGGGAGAGAAGTTGAAGACTGCGCAAACACTGCAAAAGAGAATCCAAATCAGCTAATTTCCACACATATATGATTGCAAATACCAACCAAAGGCATCTCTAAATAACCAATTTCAGTAAATTTAGCCCTAAATCCTAATAATCAGTAAATCACCATATAACCAATTTCAGTCAATTTAGCCCTAATAATCACCTAAATGCTAAATCAGTAAACTGTAAATCACCACTTTTGCCCTTTTGGGTTTTGATTTCAAAAGAAAAAGGTGCAACTGTGCAAGTGAAGTGCAAGTGTGCAACAAGCAGCAATCACAAGCAGCAATCAGCAGAGTAGCAAGCAGTAGAACTGAGAAGGACCGAGGACGGACTTACAGGGACCGGGAGTTACCGTGGCTGGCTGCCGCCGCCTCCGCCTGCAGGGCCGCCTCCGCCTAACGTCGCCGCCTCCGCCTCCATGGCTCTGTGCCTCCGTCTACGCTGGTCGCCCTCCTCGTCCTCACACACAGGCTGCATTCGGCAGTGGGTTATGGCCTTATGGRTAGTCGCTCTCGCTCGCTTCTCGGGATTGGATTTGGAAGGGGGAGGCCGGTTGAAAATTTTTGAATCTAAAAGGTAATGGATTACACTGTTGTATGCTAAGTGGGAAAAAAATCACAGGGGCCAGGGCCCCTATAGGCCCCTTAGGCCCTCCGCCCCTGCATACACAAGCATATGACTCTTTGACTTCATTCAATTACTATAGTCTATGCATGATAGATAGGATTTTGATTTACAAAAATTAACCTTTTAAGAGTATGGATGGTTCTTGTTTAATTATGTTTTGTTGGTTTGGGAGTAAAAGTCTCAAATATGGAATTAATGATCAAGTTTGGTGTATTAAGAAAGGACGCAACAATGATGGTAAAAATCGAGAGAAACTCATAATAGAAAAAAATACCCCATATTCATTTGATGAGGTTTCCAATGGATTAACGACATACTGCCCAAGGACTGAGCCATTGGTAATCATTATGTTGGAATCGGTTGATACTATTTTTGTCACTATATCATTAAGAATGTAGTTTTTCAAGACATTTTTTTCTTCTTCAATTTCTCGTATTTCATGTAAGTATCTTGCAATTAAACGCATGGTAAAATCTAATTTAAATATGCTAAATCAGGCCGTGCTCAAAGATTACCAAATCACATATTTATATATTTGTATAATCAATAATCTATTTATATATTTTGATTAAACTAATTAATATTTTAGTTGTAGATGAATTAATTTGAGTATGTAGAAGAATTATTATTAGTTAGGTGAATTGGTTTATGGTAAGCTAAGTAACAAACCCTAAATCAAACAACATTCATCAACAATATACACCTAATTCCTATCAACAAATAACAATAAATATAGACCTACAAAATGCAAAAAAAAAAAAAAATTTGAAAATGAGAAAACAAAAATACCTACATTTTTGGAGCCTCAAAAAAAAAAAAAAAAAAAAAGAGAAGATAAACTTTCCCCCAAATTTTAGGTATTTTCTCTCCTCTCCTCTCTCCGTCCCCCGTCCACCGATGAGACCACAGTGGTATCACAATTAATCTTATATGTGTTTCGGTATCACACTGAGGTCGTTTGTGTGGTCGTTCGGAGATGTAACACATTGATATCACAATGCATCTTATATGTGTTTGGGTATCACATTGTGTCTTTTGTTTTATAAAGTCAATATTTTTAGGTATCACCGGAGGACGGAGAGAGAAGAGAAAATACCTAAAATATCCTTGCATTAAAATTTTAATTAAAAATTACCAAACTTATAAATTTCCTAATTTATAAATTGATTTATGGTTGTGATTGGATCTCGCGGTTAGTACAAACTAGTTAGTTCTCCCTTGAATGAACCCCTATATATGAGTCCATTAAGAGGAGAACTGATTAGTTTGTGGTAAACGTGAGATCCATTGGGAACCACTCATTTGACATATTTAAGGATATTTCTTTAATAAGCTAAAAAGGTAATATAATAATTCTATTTTTGATAATTAATCAAAAGATTTAATTAAATTTTCTAGAAAGAAGTATATAGTTAAAATTAGTTACCTATATATTAATTACCTAATATACATCGTATTTTAAATACTTTTGGGAATCAAAGTGTATCATAGTGATAATGTTCACAATGTTTCACATGTATCATAATGTATTTTCTTTGTTTTTATGAAATATATCATAATGTGCATTTTCGTTATTTTCATTGCTTTACTGAGGGTATCACATTGTGCATCTTCTATATATATATATATATATATATATATATATATCTGGGTATCATAGTGAATATCGTTTATAGATATCACAGTGTAAATCTTGTGTTCACATAAGGTTCATGGGAATACGGTTCATCGAATAAGATTCGTCAGAGAGAGGAAAGAGGAGAGATGAGAGATGATATTTATAAAATCTCTAAAATGCTCTTAATTAATATTTTAAGTTAAAATTACCAAAATTATTAATTCCTAATTTAACTTTTGATTTATGGTTGAGATTAGATCTTACGGTTACCATAAACAAAATAGTTCTCATTTGATTAAGCTCCTATATAAAGC